TTGAAGTTTTGATAAAATTTTCGATGTTGCAATTTTCATCGATAACTTTCAAAATTCGCTATAAAATTCATTTCTTAAAGGATCCTTGTGGAAATATCACCAATTATTAATTAAAGTGTCCTCCTTTAAGAGTTGCTTCGTGAGTTAAATCAGCATCAAAAAAGTTCATTTTATATCTTGGATCCAAATAAGTTGACATATCTTATTTGCTTTCTTATTAATTTCATTTTTATTCAAATATCGCAATAATGTGGCAATGTAAGGTATCACTTCAGAAATGCACCAGAAGTTATAACCATAATGGCCGGATAGATATGCTGGATAACCGGATAGCCGGTCGAGGGGATACCGAATCTGACTTATCGCAAAATCACTAACTTACTTGATAAAATAACAAGAAAACACACTACAAAGACGAATTATGTAACAAAACGGGAATAAAAGAGATGGAGCGAGATCATCGAAGAAAGGTGAGCAGTGGTTTGCTCTGGAGTTCAATCTGATCATTTATAATATTTATTTTTGGGTGCGTCTCTTAAGATGGAAACTCAGAGTTATCATAAGGACATCACCTTTTCCAAGCAAAACTTTTCATTTGCAAAACTACCCAATTCCTATACTATTAAGCTATGTTGCATTTTATGTGGGACAGTGCAGGTGCATAGTAGTTTCTTAACTATGGTTGCATTCATATATTGCGAGTTATATGAAATTCCCGGTATAATCTTGCAATATCTCTTACTCCCTCTCCATTTCGTTAACTTTTCTCTTTACTTCTTGTTTATTTCTTATCTCTTTCTGTTTAAAAACGATGTGCAATGTTTGCAACTTCGGGTTTATGTGTATCTTAACTGACGCATAACCTTTAGGAATGAATAAAATGACGCATAATTGAACCAGACTTATTGAAAAACAACTACATTTCTTACATACCAATGATTACAACTTTACGACATAGCAAAAATATGTCACTGTTCACTATCAATGCATGAGCTATTTAAGCTTGAAATAAAGCTGACACATCTTACCATAAATCATCTATATCTTTTAAGGCGTTTTAAGAAATCTTCTTATAATAATACACTTAAATATTTTTTATAAAACTATATTTCATTGAAATAATAATTAATTAATACATAATTACGACACCCAACCAAGCGAAAGTACTCCAATAAAGCGGAGTTCTGAGATAAAGTAAAACGAAAAGTAAAGCCATTGCAAATCCTCTTAAATAAAGGTTTTCTAACTTCCTAATTAATCCAACAACAACGACGGCCATACAACTTAAAATGATGAAGAAATCGTTGAGATATTTCAAATTCTTTTCTAACCCATTGATGTGGTAAGAAGCAGCCGCACCAATTGCAGCGAGAACTATATGTTTAAAGGTGAAAATCCAGTGAATAGTCCTGACAATGAGATCTTTAATCGCCATGATCTAAAATTAATAAAATAAAGTATAAATAATAAAATAAATAAATTAACTTACGTCTTATAAATTTGTTGTAATAAAGAAATCAACGTGGTTTTGAGGTAAAATGTAGAGTGATCTTTTAAGAGATAAATTTTGAAGAGGTCTGATAAAAATTGTTTAACTTGCGTCTATTTACGTCAAATTTTATCGCGATAACCGATATAGAAAACCAATAAGAATTATACACATTTAGAGATCGTTGGGGTGATAATACAAATATAAATTATAGGTCAACAAGTTTTTTGATGATTTTGAGGTAATAAAATAATTATTAAGTTATAAATTATTTTTTTGTTTTAAAAACATCATCAGATTTAATTCAAAATGTTAGTGATTGTTTTATTTTGTTTTCATTATCACACAAAGAAATTCTATTTTTAACACGAACAAATGCATAAATTTTTATTATCAAGTATTAAGGTATCAAAAAAAATCAATTGCACCGTTATAAATGAATAAAAATTTGTTTTACCAAAAAAATGAACACGTATCCCAAAAATTGTTTTTTATTTTATGTTATGATTAAAAATGGAAATTGTTGTTATTAATAGGTGTTGGTAAAACATCAACAATTCTAAGATACGTTGAGAAAATTTTTAGTACAGAAACTCCATCAACCGTAGGGGCCTCATTTTTTACATCACGAATCGATGTTGAAGGAATAACAGTTAAATTGCAGGTAATTTTAATTTTAAACACACCGCGAAGATGTACTTAAAAAATTATGAATAGGTTTGGGATACTGCAGGTCAAGAACGCTTCAAATCCATGACACCTTTATTTTATCGTAACGCCAATGGGGCATTATTAGTTTTCGATATAACCCAACGAGACACATTCGATCATATGAAAGTTTGGGTTACCGAATTAAAGAGAAACATCGATGAACCAATTTTTATTTACGTCGTTGGTAATAAAATCGATTTAGATAATAGGGAAGTTAGTTACGAGGAGGCATTACAATATTCTCATTCGATTGATGCTAAGTATTTCGAGTGTTCAGCCAAAGAAGATAAGGTAATTTTTATAAATTAAATTTATTAAATGTAATTAAAATATTTTTAGGGTATAGAACAAATATTTTTAAGTTTAGCCAGAGATATTATTATGAAATCAACGAACAATGACGCTTATAAATCATTAGAAAAATTCGAATCGATGGATGAAAATGTTTTGTTAGCTTCTGCCAGCGATCAAAATGCCACCGACGTTGGACATACAGAAATTGTAGGTGCTAGTATCAATTCAATAGCTCACGGTGATATCGTAGCTAAAAGATGTTGTTGAGTTATTTAATTAGAAAGTTAAAGGATTACAAAAAAAATAATTTTTCAACGAGATGTTTATCGCATAGGTCAAAGTAAAAAATGGTAATTAACAGAAATTTTATAGCAATAATATTAAAAAAATATATGCTGTGATGTTTTTATCTTTGAGTCATAAATGTGATAAGTCAAGAAAATCTCGAATATCTGTCACAAGTCTTTATTAATAACCAACTTATTAATTTTTACTACTTCTTATTTTTCTTTATGAAAATTTTGTGACCAAAAGAATTTTTGTAAATATATATAATTAAGTAAATATATTTTTTACTTAAATAAACATCGAAAATTTAAATAAAAAATGTTTTAATTTTTCTCCTTCTTTCATTCTCTATATAAATAAAATTCCTCTTTATTATAATATGTTATATAATAAGTGGTTTTGCAAACTATATGCCTAATAAGTCTGTTAAGTATGGGCATTGGTTACTGCACATTCGTATTGTTTTGAATTTGAAAGACAACCAAATGTGCTGCATCAGTAACTCTCCTATTGATATCGTTGACAACAATCGGAATATAACTTGTGATGATTCAACACATCTATAATTCAATAAGGTGTCTTCTCACAATCGCATCTAGTCTCTTGAACATTGCTTCCATTATTGCACAAGTGATTTATAAAGGAACTAACCAAGACTAAAATGGTAAAAAAAAATTTAACTATATTAAACCATAATCCGAAAATGAATGAAAATGACACCCGCGAAAAGTTGTCAACTGCCAAGATCCCAAAGATTATAGGAAGGTTTTTCGTATGTTCAAGAAGCTACGATCGTAAGGCGAAATATTTTTGCATCTATTGCATAGTATACTGTTTCTGCAAGTCGTGGCATACTTTTAATCATAAATACTAGAGTGAAAATGATGACGGTTCGTGTAAAAAATTTTGATCTAATAGATACCCGGAAAGAAGAAAATGCGAAAATATTTGGTCGTTTGGTGGAAAATGTAAAAACATTTGATTCTTTCAAAAAACCTAGACCAAAAACGTATAATAAAGAAAATCAAGACGAAGAAATAAATGTTTTAGCAATAGTTACAGCAGATTCTTCTATATCAAACCGCGAAATGGAGCATGATCTTGGCATTTCGAGAAACCACTGTCTTCGAGTTTTACATAAACAAAAATATAAGCCATATGTTCCTCGAATTATTCATCACTTACGGGATGGTGATAGCCAAAGAAGGTTTAAGTTTTGCCATTGGTGCCTAGTTCAGGTTAATGAAAACCCAGGTTTCAGTAGAATAGCTATCTGAACCGATGCTTCATCGGTTCACGTTAGTAGTGCGGGAATATTTAATTGAAATGACCAACATATATGGCGTACTAAGGCATTGCTAAATAATCATCTTTTATCATATCAAATTTAAACGCGGAACGGTATTTAAACATTTTGCGTCTTTTGAAAAAATGTTTGACGTTTCGAATGCCATGCTGCACCAGTATCGTCATTCCTTTCTAATTTTGTTTTCATAACAAAGGACGCATCATTTTTTCGGCTTTTGTTTTGTTGTAGGTGAAATGAAATCTGGGAAATGTCGCTCTAGTAGCCAAGAAGGCCTTGGTGTCCTTGATCGGTCTTCTGAAAGATTTTTTTCTTTAGCATATTTTTCAACAAGCACTTCACCCAGATCCATCAAAAAATGTAGCCGATGTTTTCTATCACCAAGTTTTCTATGAATTTGGTAACAATTTATGGTAGTTATGTCCAAAAAGTGGCGAAATATTTTCATGTAACATTTTTTTAGTCTCTTTCTGGCAGAGGAATAAAAATGTAAGTAATTGTCCGCTAGGTCTACACCGCCCATGCCTGTGTTGTATTCTACAATTGCTATAGGCTTTTTTTACTGTATATCCTCCTGAGTGTTGTTGTTGTGGAAGGAGCTTACCATTATCATATATTTTTTGTCTTTCCATTTCAACATCATCTGCTTCTTTCTAAACTGTGCAATTTGTTCTCCTCTTGCTACTTTTGTGTTTTTAACTTCTTCTGGGATTCCTCTCCTGTTTGATCGAGCAGTTCCTACACAGTCAGTCTTACATTTCGCTAGTTTATCACATAGATCAATACTTGAGCAATAATTATCTAAAAATAAACAGTAGTCACTTCCCAGAAGTTAATGTGTAAGTTCCAAAACCAGGATAGTTTTGGAACTAAATTATTTATAAACGTTTATAACTAAACTATACACGCAATACGTGGAGCACCGATCAACAGAACAGCGCATAAATGTGTTTTAAAAGCGAACAGGGAATTAAAACCTGAAACCAGTTCAAACATGTGTTAGACCGAAGTCTATTCTAGCCAAAAATAGAATATAAGTGGCGAAAAACGTCTTGCTTATTGAATATCACTTTAATTTCTAAGATGCCAATATATCCGACATACCCACTTCGTAGCGGTTTTCGTCATGACGCTTATATACGACATAAGCGCTTAAGAGGTTAAATTACTATTTTTTGTGTTAATAAAACCCCCCTACCGGCCCGTAATTTACAGGAAACTGTAAATTTAATTTCTTCGACGACACTAGATGGCGGCGCGGCGTTTGGAAATTTTATAAAGGTTATTTTTAGCTTTATTCTAAAACAATAATAAATAGACTTGTCGAATCCTATATTTTTGAAATCAGAAAAAAATAACTTTGTTTAAAAAAGAAACCCCCAGACAGCCAAATCCTACAAAAAAAAATGTAAATGCTCTACACCTATTGTTAGATAAAATGATTCTGCCGATTAAAGGAAAAAGTAGCCTAAACCGGTACAACCTGAAAAAGCCAAAAAAATAGTGTAAACTAAATAGTATATTTTGCCTTGCAGACAACCTATCTGACTTTATTTCTAGTTATAATGCAGTTATTCGTTTAGCTCAATCGTATTCCCAGAAATCAAAGTTTTCAATTGTTTTACGATAATTGGTTTTGCAGTCTAGAGCTACAAATTGAATTGGCTCAAAGCAGGATTGATAGTTTGGGCACTGTTCGCAAATCATGTTTCCGGTAATAATTTACAGATTTCCACTTGGCATTAAATAGAACTCAAATACGGTCTTATTCAGTATTATTAAGTTTTTAAGGATTTTATAAGCTATAGTTATCTTTTGCAAATTGTATCTGATCTTCTGCAAGCAATATATTGTCCTTTGTAAAAATCTAATCTCTTCCAAGCAATATATAGATTTATTCGAGCAATACGTAGTCTTTGTCAAGCTATTCTTTTGCATGTAGTACCTTCTAGCTTTACCTGATTTTTTGCAACCAATATATAGGCTTCTGCAAGAAGTATTCAGTCTTCTCGAATAAGCTAGTCTCTCGCAGGCACTAAATAGATTTTGCGTTAATACGTGATATTTATTGAGATTCCAACAAAGTATATTCTTTAAGCAGTATTCATCTTGTGTGTGTTCATGTTCAGTTAGTATGTAGTCTGTTGTAAATAGTATTTAGCCTTCTGCAACCAGTATTTAGCCTTCTATAAGCAGTGCCTAATCTTCTGCAATGCAATAACCTTCAATCAGTATCTGGTCTTTTGCAAAACATTGTATAGGTTTCTATGAGAAGTATTCTACAATGGTCTCTTGCAAACAATATATAGATTTTTTCAGGCAAAACGTGGTCTTTGTTAAACCTAAAACAGTGTGTGTACCTCTTAAAGCAGTATCTATTCTTCTCCAGTGCAATAATCTTCAAGCAGAATCTAATCTTTTCCAAGCATTATAAATTCTTCTACAGGATGATTCTCAACCTATACGCATAAACTTGGAGATTTATTCCTCAGGATTAATAATGACTAATATATGAAAAAAATTGTAGTAAAAGTTTTTTAGTTTCCTAGATAGGCGACATCTAGCTAATGTGTTTCCTGGAAGATGGATAGCTCGAGATGGTTCAATGGCTTGCCACCGAGATCGCCCGGCTTCAATCCTCTTCATTTTTACTTTTCGAGTCACTTAAAAAGCATGATGTACGCCACGGAAGTTAATACTGAGGAAATATTGCAAAACGAAATACATGCTGCTGCCCAGACAATCCGCCAACTCCTTGGTTTAGGCCGCGCTAGTAGGAGATCGTGGATTCGGGCAGCCCAATTCATAGAAAATATGGGAATTAACTTCGAACACTTGCTGTGATGTTATTTTAAAAGGTTCTATGTATTCTTGATTTGAAAGTAAATATCATGGATCTATGAAACAGAAAATCTTTTACTACAAATATTTTTTCTTATTAGTCAGTATTTGTCGTGAGGAGTAAATCCCAAAGTTTATGCGTATAGATTGAGAATCACCCTGTATAAGGGGAATCTAATCTTCTGTAATGAGAATCTTGTCTCTTGCAATAAGTAGATACAACAATGTGTATTTTTCTTCAAGCAATACACATTTAGTCTGCTGCAAGTACAATCTAGTTTTCCTAACAAGTTAAGTTATAAAACTACGAAGGTTTTCACGACCGGTGTTAATTAAACTAAAACTAGAACTAACACTAATAATATAATAATAAAGTGTTTAACGTTTCAGATGCCATGTTGCAACCTTCTTCAGAAACAAGTTCGAAGTGAAGTTAAGTTATCTAACAATTAGTCTTCTACAAGGCCAGAAAGGCTCTATACGTTTTTCTTAAATCTATGACAATTTCATCTTCGTATTAGTAGTGTTGATTAAACAAAACTAACCTCCAGCCACAATTGAAACCTATGTACACGCACTGTTCGTCATTTAGTGATGAATTGTGATGACTATAATATGTTTTTGAAATATAGTAGCAGGGTTCTTGTATGCACAGTACATTAAGATTCTTCAGCAACTTGGAGAAGCTCTGACAGAACTCAATCCGTTCAGTGTATTGATCTGTCTAATTTTACCTTAGGTAATTTTGTGGATGGCTTTTCCTTTTAACGGTGGTCTCAGTGATTTGGCTTTCTTGTCAAAAAGTGGCCTAAACTAGTAGTGTCTACTATGTGTTTTGACAAAGTCTTTGTACAGCTCGTTTATGTTGAGACGTTCCTTTCTTCTGCTCTAGACCTATTGGACTGGATCAAAAATTGAGTCGTACTTGCCCAATGACTCTTCAGATATAAAGAATTCTAATAATTTGCCCTATGTTTGTTAATTCGCGTTTGAATTAAGAGTTTGATGCGGATCAATTTTTGTAAAAGTATTCAGAAGCATCCCTACATCTTGTTTTTTAGATGCATCTGGCTTGTTTATTTATTTTTATTACTTTTACTTTGTTGTAGTTCTTATCACCACAACCTAAATTATTTCTCTTGTTGGTTGTAGAATTTTGCAACGTGCTCTAGAGTCTAGATTACCTCATTGGTGCCATTTCGATGTTCTCAGGAAGCTTTTAGCATTTGCTGCGTCATAATCATCAAGTATTCTTATCATTCTGAACATTTCCATCACCATATGAATGGTTTCTTTGCCTCTAGGAATCATTATGAATTACATTGCAAAGGTTATATTGTACTTCTTTATCTGTATCTCCAGGTCTGATTTTTCAACATAAAAGATGAGATATTCTTTTTGCCTACCATGAACAAATTTGCAGGCTTTTGTGTCTACTTGATGACCTTGGCGATCTTATTATTAGACATGTTGCATAACTTATGTCGAAATGTGTTGGAGTTGAATCTTTTTATCTATTCACTCTCCGTCTGCAATGACTTGAGTTGAATGATTTCAGAGGAGTATTTTCGGTCATTCATACAGACTTTAGTAAAATTTCTTCATAGAGAGTCTCATCTTACAAGGTTCTTGGCGATTATGTTGTTATTTAACATTAATTACAAATTTTATCACACTGTTAAAGACCATTAATTAACAACATTTATGATTTTAGAGAATCGTCTATTATTCAGAAATTCTTGGAATTGAAACTACAAGTTTCGAAACTGTTTTAATTGGACTCGTATTCTAATTAGATTAGAGTTATTTGGTTTCCGTCGGAACATCGCACGTCTTTTAACTGCTACACGTAGTTATACTTCTTGGTATACATATATTATCTATTATGTTCAACTATGGAGAATTAAGAAATCAATCAAAAAACTGTCACAGAGTTATCAATTAATTTTCGTTTAATTTTATTTTCAAGTTCTTAATATCTCTTATTATACATAAATTATAGTAAATTATCCGTAGATTTCGGAATTTAAATGAAGAGCATATGCTGACAAAGACGTCAACCGTAAATTACGTGAATTAGTGAAGGAGGTGGCGCCTCCTCTCTCATTTCTATATCTACCCGTTTCTTTAAACATTTTCTTAATGTATTTGCCGACGATGAAGCTACAAAATTTAGCCTCTCCTTTCACACATGTTCGGCGTAACCTAACAAGGTATTCGGTTAACCATCCGTATCCTTTTACTTCCTCCATCACCTCCCTAATTTAAAATAAAAAAAATCTCGACTCGTTTTGCGAAACATTAAACGATCCGAAATTTGAAGATGAGATGGCCCTAAAAATAAAAAGGAAATAAATCAATGTTGTTATTAAATCGGGCTTATTTAATTACAGTTAGTTAGTGAAGAAATAATTTGGGATGTGTTAAAAAGTGTTAAAACCGATAATTAAGTTTGTCATAAATCCAATTTTAAATAGCTGCAACGTTATGGGTCATTAAGATACTTAGAAACTCTTTTAAAAACCATAAATTTGGGTTGTTGTGGGTGCGTCTCGCGTTGTAATTCGAAACAGATTTCGAAGAAATCCTCGTTATGAAGCGATTCAAATTTGAAACTTGGTAGTTTTCGTTAAAATTTATGAGATCTCGTTAGAAATGAACCTGTCTAAAATAACATCAATGGTTTAAGTAAAATTATTAAATGAAGTATTTATATCTTTTATAATTAACGAAGAATTTTCTTTGGAATTCCATGAATGTTTAAAATGAGGACTTGATGACAATTTGGCGCCACTATTTCCGGAGGGACATGATTAATGAGATATTATTATGTTCATTTTAACTTTCAAAAAGAAATTAAGTCTTGGCAAAATTTATAACATTAAAATCACAAAATTAATGAGATCAATCTTTTAACTAATCCATTTTTTGACAAACAGCCAATGTCTATGGATTAAAATTAAAGCAGTCCTTAAAATAAGCAAAAAAAAAATAAATCGTCATTAAGAGAGAACAATATCCATTAATAACATGGTCTTCTCCTCTTCTATACACATGTTTAGCAAAACCTAAATATATCTCAATTATCCCTTCCCGTTTATCCCGGTTGTAACATCCCGTTTAAATCCCACCTCCAAGATGAGGCTATTGGACCAGGACCAATTTCACATGAACGCCCGTTAAACGCTCTAATGATGAGCACTTAAAGACCATCAGATGCACCGCCTATTAGACAATAACGAGTTGATTTCTACCATCATTTTCCAAAATTCGTTCTCAGAAAGAATTAAGACGCCTAAATGGAACTATAAGTTAAATCAGTTGAAATGGAAGCAAGAACTTTTGGAAGTTTGAGTAAAATTGAAACGAAAGATAACGCGTCGAAGTCGAAAAACTTTATGATCGATTCGTTATTGGCGGAAAGTGGAAATGAAACATCGACGGAAAAAAATAAAAGTGATCAATGTGGTTTGGTGGATGTAGTTGAAAAAGTGGACGAGGAGAGTTTGATTAAAGTTGATGGGAGTTCCGATGATGGAGATGAAAGTTTGAGGTTTTTGCGGGAAAGTGATGGGACTAATGAGGTAAATGGGCGTTGTTTGGATGTTGGGAGTAATCCGGAAGCGATGTTTTCAAGGCGATTTTCTGAAGGTAAGAGTTTTTTAATAGTTTTAAAATTATACACATAAGTTTTAATTTTATATACTTATACTTTGTTTCCTAATATTATATCAGTTTTTTCACTATTTTGTATAACAATTTAGATAACATGTTTAAATGAGTTAGATCTTGAGGTTCCTGGTATAATATTGTTAGAGTCCAATCAAGTGGTAAGATTTTTTGTGCATCATTTTCATAAGTGAATGAGTGACAGAGTTTTCCTGTTCAGACTAAGAAGGGATTTAATCATCTGGAGTTCTACTCCAGTGGAACTGAGATACATGAGATATATTTTAGTTGTTTGAAAACCATTATTATCCATTAATACCGGTTAGTGATTTGGAAGCAAATAATCCTAAATAAGAACACAACGATAATCTACTGTAACATCTTGCCCTCGTTCTCCTAGTGAGGTTACTCCCACTTGACTTGATCAGTGAGTTGTTGTTATTATCCTGGAAAATCTTTACAGCACTTACTGACACCTTCCTCTAAGTTTACAGCCTGTTGTTAGAGTGCTGTATGTATCATACAGCATTCTAAGCAAATGTATTTGCCATTGGCTGAATGAGAATGATGTTAGCAGTATTAAAGGGTTATGGGATATTCTAAAACTGCAGAACCAGCAATTTTCAGCTCTATGATAATCGTTAGACAAAGATTTTGTGGTAGATGGAGAATCAATAGAACACGTTTTATGGCAGTGTTCTCCATTGAGTTGTATAACCTGATATTTCGTGCATGATTGCAAAGATGCCAATAGTAATTCATTAACTTGGGTACACAGAAGACTGTCGAGATGTTTTTAATAGATTAAAGATTTTAACTCTACCCTCACTTTTTATTCTCGAATGCGCTCTGTATGCTTTTGATAGCAGGGGACATTTTGCGATACATGCCGATATTCATCAGCATGATACTAGGAATAAGGATAAAAAAACACAGCTTGGGCCAGAGTGCTTATCTCGAGTGGTACTTAACAAACTGTCGAGTGAATTAATAGGAGAGTCTAATAAAAGGATTTTTAAAGATAGCTTAAAAAAAAATTTGTGTCAGAAAACATTTTATTCTGTGCAGGAGTTCCGAAATGCAGGGATCGGGATTATAACCACCATACCCTCTTGGTTTTTGTTTATGCTGGTGTATTTATTAAATAAAAAAATGTATTGGATATGTATTTATTTGGATGAGTGTATGAGCAGCAGCTTAGTAACACAATAAAGTATTATTATTATTATTATTAGGTAAGATTACCTTCTTTCAATTGGATTGTACGGCAACCTTTGCTATAGTTACTTATTGGGGTACAATAGCAATTATAATACAATGATAAATTATTAGTATTTATAATGAGGCAAGTTATGCCAAGTTACATGCTCCATTACAGTTTTTCAGTTTGCAATTTTGATATTTTGGGAATGTTGAATTTCTAACTAGAATATGGCTACAACAAAATTAATTTACTTATGAATTACATCTTCTTAACTCATTATAAACGATTTATATTCAAAATATTTTTCTTCGTTGCCTTTAGATGTTATGACTTACTTTAGTAACTAAAACATTAAATTTTGATATTTCGAAAAAAATGTTCCACTTTCTAATTAAGATATGGTTACAACTACATTGAATCTGGTTATGGATTATGACTTCATGGGTCGTTATAAACAATTTATTTCCAAAACATTTTTCTCCGTCACCTTAAGTTTTCGAGTTATAATCCATTTTAATAATAAAAACGTTCAACATTGATATTTTGGGGACTTTTGCTTTGTAATTAAAATATGGCTAAGAACTAGCCTAAATCTGGTTATGGATTTTTATTTTTGGGTTCATTATAAACAATTTATTTCTAAAACATTTCTCTCCGTGTCCTTTAGCTTTCGAGTTATAATCCATTTTAGTAATAAAAACGTTCAACATTGATATTTTGAGGATTTTCGCTTTGTAATTAAAATATGGTTAGAATCAACCTAAATCTGGTTATGGATTTTGATTTTTTGGTTCATTATAAACAATTTATTTCTAAAATATTTATCTTCGTCACGTTAGTTTTTGAGTTATGAGCTACTTTAATAACGAAAACATTCAATTTTGATATTTTGGTGATTTTCACTTTCCAACTAAGAAATGGTTACAACTACGTTGAATCTGGTTATGGATTGTGTCTTCATGAGTCGTTATAAACAATTTATTTCCAAAACATTTTTCTCCGCCACCTTAAGTTTTCGAGTTATAATCCATTTTAATAATAAAAACGTTCAACATTGATATTTTGGGGACTTTCGCTTTGTAATTAAAATATGGTTAGAGCCAGCCTAAATCTGGTTATGGATTTTGATTTTTGGGTTCATTATAAACAATTTATTTCTAAAACATTTCTCTCTGTGACCTTTAGCTTTCAAGTTATAATACATTTTAATAAGAAAAACGTTCAACATTGATATTTTCGGGATTTCAGCTTTGTACTTAAAATATGGTTGGAACCAACCTAAATCTAGTTATGGATTTTGATTTTTGGGTTCATTATAAACAATTTATTTCGAAAACATTTCTCTCCGTGTCCTTTAGCTTTCGAGTTATAATCCATTTTAATAATAAAAACGTTCAACATTGATATTTTGGGGACTTTCGCTTTGTAATTAAAATATGGTTAGAACTAACCTAAATCTGGTTATGGATTTTGATTTTTGGGTTCATTACAAACAATTTACTTCTAAAATATTTTTCTTCGTCACCGTTAGCTTTTGAGTTATGCGCCACTTTAATAACGAAAACATTCAATTTTGATATTTTGTTGATTTCCACTTTCCAGCTTAGATATAGTTACAACTACATTGAATCTGGTTATGGATTTTGATTTTTGGGTTCATTATAAACAATTTATTTCTAAAACATTTCTCTCCGTGTCCTTTAGCTTACCAGTTATAATCCATTTTAATAATAAAAATGTACAACATTGATATTTTGGGGGCTTTCGCTTGTAATTAAAATATGGTTAGAACCAGCCTAAATCTGGTTATGGATTTTGATTTTTGGGTTTATTATAAACAATTTATTTCTAAAACAATTCTCTCTGTGACTTTTAGCTTTCGAGTTATATCCATTTTAATAATAAAAACGTTCAACATTAATATTTTCAGGATTTTAGCTTTGTACTTAAAATATGGTAAGAACCAACCTAAATCTACATAGTTATGGATTTTGATTTTTGGGTTCATTACAAACAATTTATTTCTAAAATATTTTTCTTCGTCACCGTTCATTTTTGAGTTATGAGCCACTTTAATAACGAAAACATTCAATTTTGATATTTTGATGATTTTTACTTTCCAACTAAGATATAGTTACAACTACATTGAATCTGGTTATGGGTTATGTCTTCATGAGTCGTTATAAACAATTTATTTCCAAAACATTTTTCTCCGTCACCTTTAGTGTTCGAGTTATAATCCATTTTAATAATAAAAACGTTCACCATTAATATTTTGGGGACTTTCCAGGGGACAACCAGCCTAAATCTGTTTATGGATTTTGATTTTTGGGTTCATTATAAACAATTTATTTCTAAAACGTTTCTCTCCGTGACCTTTACCTTTCGAGTTATAATCCATTTTAATAATAAAAACGTTCAACTTTGGTATTTTGACGATTTTCACTTTGTAATTAGAATATGGTTAAAAAGCTCAAGCAAAAACCTAAAAAGCTATCAGGTGTGCTCTAGGACACTGACTGCAATCAAGCAATTAAAAACTGCTATGGTCTGACAATCAGGAAAAATACGGGTTTTATAGAATAATGTGAATTTCTCTAAGGGCTTCGTATTTTCATGTACTTTCCTGAGTTTCGAACGTGATCAAGCTAAAAACCGAAAGTTATGAGTGCTCCAATTGTGCTATGCCAACCTTTTGTTGTGCATAACATACTTATCAATTAGAACTAAAAATCGTTATGATAATATAAGCTGTTTAGATTAGTAAACAGAATAAAATGAAAAAAATTGAAAGAATCCTAAAGGTCAGAAATAGATCTTTTCATGAGTATGAAAATTTCCCAAAGTGTTAATAAAAGTGTTCTCTTTCCAATAAACCAACCCGTTTTGAAAAATAAGTTTTAGTTTTTGAGAAAACAATATTTGAGGTTTTGATGAAATTGTCGATGTTGTAATTTTCATCGATAATTTTCAAAATTCGCTATAAAGTTAATTTCTTGAAGGATCCTTGTGGAAATATCACCAATTATTAATTAAAGTATCCTCTTTTTAATGCAATAAGCCGTTTTGAAAAATCACCTTTAGTTTTTGAGAAATAAATTTTTGAAATGATCGACAATTTTTTCGAATTTTGCCATTTTCGTCGATTAAATTCTAATAATTCGCATAAAATCGATTTCTTGGAATATGAGTATGAAAATTTTCCAAAGTTTTAATAAAAGTGTCCTCTTTCTAATGAATCAACCCGTTTTGAAAAATGACTTTTGGTTTTTGAGAAAACAATATTTGAAGTTTTGATAAAATTTTCGATGTTGCAATTTTCATCGATAACTTTCAAAATTCGCTATAAAATTAATTTTTTGAAGGATTCTTGTGGAAATATCACCAATTACTAATTAAAATATCTTCTTTGTAGAGTGTCATTAGTTATAATTATTGGATAAAATAATCTCCTTAAATCATACAAGTTCAGAAAATTAATTCCCTCCGTTTTGGAAACAATGATGTCGAATATCTTCTTATTTTAAGACATCTGCTTTTTTTTCTGCCCTGTCTTACGGTTAAGTTGTGTTCTGTTAATGACCTTAGTGTCGTCGCCTCCGCTGTTCTCAAGATTCTTTTTATGGTAGCATTTTGTTCTCTTGTCTCTATCATGTTTATTCTTGTACAGGTCTTATACATATATGCTGACCTTGTTTTCTAAGGACATATACTTGTATTGCCAATTTATGTTAATCAGGTAACTTGATATTAGACAGTCTCTTTGTTTTATGCCGGT